TTAACCCTTTCGCGACAAGATTTTTTCTTAAATAACAGAACAATTTTGGTAGCATGAACTATGAGTATGTAGCATTATGTACGGTAGTGCCATCTACGTTCTGTGAATGAAAATACCTTCAAAAATATTGGCAGAACTGGTGGGAAAGTCTCCCATTAGATAGAGAAGCGTTTCTCTCCTAAAAGATTTTTTTGAACATTGCTTGGGACGTATGTGTCCCATTAGGTGCGAAAGGGGTAAGCAGTATTTTCGATTTTCAACGTAATTTCGAAAATCCCGAATTTTGATTACGATATTATAACGATATGCGAGTTTTAGATCGCCCATTTAACTAAACACTTTTGGCGCACTTTATTTGTGTCGATTTTGTCGTCTAAGTGACTATCTTTTTTTTCAATTCTTACTTTTTTTCCCAACCATTTTTTCGGCATTTATTGCTATACATTTCCACGTAGTATAAAAAATTTCGATAATTTTATTACAACATGCGAATTTTCAATCGCGCATTTGACATGCTTTATTCGAGCTGAGTTCATCATAAATTTAAGTGCTTTTTTTTTCCACTTATTTTATACTTTTCTAACATTTTTTACTATCCCGCTATTTAACTATGATGTTATTACAACTCGCGAATTTCTAATCACGCGCCTAAATAATCACTTTTTGATACGGTATTTCAGTACAGTTTTGTCGTAAATTCTAGTTATTTTTCCTTTGTTTTTTCGGCAACAAATTTGATTTGGTCAAATGTGGTAAGGAATTGCGATTTGGTCCATTATCGAATACCGTATATTTGTGGCCAAATAGCGACATTTTTTAGCAGCAAAGCAACACTGAAACCAAAATTTCAATGCCAGGATTAATATTTTCTGGAAACGCTAAAAACGCTAAAAAATAAGGCCTATCAGAAACGCTTTTGAAAATGTCGAACCTATCATAAAAATTATAGATTGTATACAAAAGGGAAGCAGAGAAAATAAAAATCAATCTTAATTATTAAAGGAAAATTTTAAGGCTGAACTATCTCAGTTTCCCAATTACTAGAAAAAGTCAAGAAAATAGAATAAGTCTAACAGAAATGCTCCTAAAAAGTGCCGCGTTTTAATAAAAATGTCCCTAAAAAGATTTTTTTTTTTTTTAAAAAAAAAGAAAAAGAATGCTAGATAGAAACAAAAACATTAAACATTCTTAATTTTTTAAATGAAAATCTCTTAAATTTTTCATTTTGCCATAATTTTAGACAAAAAAAAAATTGCTATAAAATAAAGTTTCTTAGTAACGTTCATTTAAAAAAATTTTGTGGCATAATAAAAATGCTGATAAACAGGAAAAGTTAATTAAAAAGAAAAACAGACCAAAAAAAATTGTTTTTAGTTCCCAAAACAAAATTTTAAGAATGAAAATCACAGTTATCTATGGTACCGGTTATCTATATTACAGTACAGGGAAAAAGTGACAATAAATTAATAGTATGAGACGTTCCGTAAAAATGCTATGTTATAATAAAGACAGCAGAAATGAGAAAAAAAATATTTCTAAATTCTTAGAACGAAAAGCATCGAAAAAATTACAAAATTGACTTTTCTGAATATAATTTTCCTCTTTTTTAAAAAAAAAGCAGAAGTGCAAAAACCTATAATTCACTATAAAGTAAAGTAGTTTCAATGCTTCAAATTGCAGAAACATGGATCTTAAAATTTAGCAAATTTCGTGTAAAAATTATTTCTTATAATAAACAATACTATGATATGGTTAAAAATATGATTTTATATTATTCTTTATCATGTCTATACATATTCAAAAAAAAAAGTTAGAAAAATAATTTACTTAAAGATACTATGCTGAATATTTTGCCGATCATTTGACCAAACGAATTTTGACAAAAGGGCCAAATAATTAGGGCCACATCCCTAATTTAAATGCAATGTTATTGCAGCCTGAGAAATTCACAAATTGGTGGAAAACATAAATTTTTAAACTCGCCACTGTTTGTAATTTTGATGTAATTTTTTTGTTGCTTAAATAATCTTTTTTGTTAAAAAAAATAAGAAAATGTTTACAACATAAAAAAACTAATATTCAATCCTATTTACTTCGTGTTGAATTCGTGTTTCCTATTTACTTAATTTAAAATCGTGCATATGTATTGTATCCCAAATATTGAGTTTCCTATTCACGCGAATTTAAAATGAATAGTAATCAAGATTTGTGTTCAAGCTTTTTTAAAATCAAATGTAAGAGATTAGTATTCACAGGATTTTAAAATCAAACATCAAAATTCATATTAACTCAATTTAAAAATCAAACATCGACAATCATATTCACATGAATTTTAAATCAAACATTGATATTCATATCAAAGTGATTTTAAAATCGAATATTGACGTTCGGATTCACACGATTTTAAAATCAAACACTCATCCCTGAGGTATCAGTCATTAAAGAAATACAAAAAAAAAATGAAATATTTTTAAAAAAATTTTTGATTTTCAAATTTTGCCAAAATGAGGTGGGGGCGAAATGGTTGAAACTAGTAACAAGAGTTAAACAATGCATGCAGAAAGGTTTTTAATCAAGATTTTGTGTTCATAGAAGGTTTTTAGTTTTATCTAAGTCTGCTAATGTATTTTTTTATTACACTTAGATATTTATTGCTTTTGATTGAGTGATAAGAGTTTGTTTCTTACTGTATTGCCAATTTGCAAAAAATAATATTAAAAAACAAACTATAATAACAATACACACTCAGGGTCTAAGTTTTTTTGAAAGGTATCTATTTTATGAAAATTTAGACATAATTTGTGAAAATTAAAAATTATATTAAAAAATCAACACAAAAATATGGTAAGGTAAGAAAATATTTTCAAAAATTGTCACTACAAATAGAAATTATTTATGACTGGTAAATTTTTACATATTTTCCCCCATATATTCAAAAATAATTTTGCTATTGTAAAATCTTAAGGTCTGTCTTTGGCTGAAAATTGTACCCAAATTGTAAAAATCCATAAAAATCACTGTCCATAGTTAAATTTCAACTTGAATTTAATAATATCGCACTATCTGTCCAAACACATGCTACCTTTTCGTGAAAGACAGCTGGCAGAAAAGTGCCTCTTTTCCTTAAATTGCAATAAGAACGGAAATTGTATGAGAACTTGCTCTTTTAAAAGTATTTTGTGATACTGCTTTTCCTAAAGTTGAATATGTGAAGGTACTGCTAAACGATAATAAATTTACCCTGGACAGACTCCTGACATTCGATTTAAGTTTTAAGGATGTGCACTAAAGATTTGGAGTAGTTATTGGGCCTGCAATTAGCAAATGAGACCTGAGAGGAGAGTTTAAAAGATAAAGAATTTCATTTAGAATTTTATTTTCTTTTTATTATTATATTATAAAAAATTGGAAGGGTGACATATGTCCTATCTTTCCCTCTACTAGCTATGCCACTGAATACAAATAGGTATCTCGTTCAATATTGTCTGCTTTGATACATCACAAACATTAGACTGTAAGAACTGTACAAAAAGAATATTTAATCCTACATAGGCGATAAATAAAGCAATAAAACTATCATTTTGTCAGCGCAAATACATCCTTCCTTTGTTTGTTTTTTTCTTGCAGAAAAAATTGGTACAAACAGATATTATAAAAAAAAATTCTTTTTTTTTTTCCTTTTAGTGTACAGTGACATATTTTTCAATAAATTCTTTTCAATTGTGTTGAGAAATTGTGAAACTTATCTGCATTTTATTTCCTATTTTATTTATAAAAATAGAAAAAATTTTAATTATTTTTTCAGGATTTTAAAGATTTTTTTTCTTTTAATGTACAGTGACATTTTTTTAATTGTATTTTTATTGTATATAAATATAAAGAAACTTTTCAGAATTTTTTTTCTTTTTTTAATTCAGCGACTGTTTTTTTACTCCAGGTTTTTTAAAATTAGTAATTTTAAAGAAATATTGCTTGAATATGAGTTGTATTTACATTGCTGTTAATGAATGCTATGCAGTTAAAAATAAAAATAAAGGATTTCTCAACCAACTTTATCAAAAGGGAAAATGTAATAAAAACACATTAGTCTACCTATTCCACCAAAAAATAAACAATTTAAATTTAAAGCTGCTATTTGATGGATAAAAAGTTAAGTGTTTATAGTACTAAGATAAAAATTAAAGCTATTTTCAGTATTTGTAAATGTTATCTTTAACTTAAATTTATATCCCACCTGAAGAATTTACATCCCACACCAAAAAGTTTATGTCAGACAAAAGTAAAAAAAAGTTCAAGTAAAAAACTTCAAGTTAACTATATATCATATTTTACACATTAAGAACTGCCTAGAATTCCAATGTCAGCTAACTCAGCTTCTAAACTCAGTCACATATAAACTATAAACAAATTTACAGAATTAAGACAATTTGTAAATTAGTAATCATTTTTTACTTTTGTGTGATTGACAATCAACACCAACAATTAAATCTGTTTAAATTGAACGTATAACCAGTTCTTATAAAACAAACTGTTTTTTGATAGGTTATGGTGTACCAAGTATTTCATATAAAAATTTAATCTTTTAAAATTTAATTATTTTAAGAGTTTTTGTACGAAATTTAAGATCATATTTTACATACGACACCATGGAATTACCCTTATTAGTTAAAAGACATATTACTAATCGCTAGTTAAAAGACAGATTAATAAAATAAAGTATTCGCAAAAATAGAAATATTTTCAAAAATCGAAACATTTAAATACAATCTTCAGAAATTAAAAGAGTTTTTGCAAAATTAATATTGTTAGTAATAATTTGAAATAAATTGGATACTTCAACTTTACACTAACCACGTAAGAAAAGAAAGGAAAGTACTTTTTCAAGCAAATTTCAGTCAAAGAAAACTAAAAGAGTCAACACTTTCGCAAGAAAAAAACAAACGTGATAAGAAAAGTTTTAAAAAAATAATAATAAAAAAGCTATCAAAATGCGCACTCACCGGTTCATTCACTGGTCACATGTAAAGCCATATGAAAAGATATACAATCCAGTATTCACATAAACATTGCTATCAGATAAAACTTATTTTTAATAAAAAATCTTAAGGTCTGTCTCTATTTTAGGGGCGTGGAAACAACTTCCAAAAGTTTTAACTCGTCACCGATTCTAATATTCGTAATTAGACTAAAAAGTTTCAACAAAGCTGAAATTGATCGTAATTAAACAGCGCACTGTGTCTTGAATACCAGTAAAAGATGGGTTTACATGATCAAGGTAACTTTGATCAAAGTAGGCGCGTGCTTTCAAATTGCATCATAAAAGTAAATAGAACAAAAAAGGGAACCACGAATTGGTAGGGAAAATGCAAAGGGGAAAAAAAGTTACACACTGTAGTTGAAAGTATTGGAGATCGAAATGGGCTACAGGTGGCGTAGAATAGAGCACTTTACCTATGGCAATACTTCGCACTCTTTCACCATTGCAGTGCGGAGAGTCATAGGAAAAGGAAGTATGCTAGATCCTGTCTTGATTTTCAAATAGATTAAGAACTTTAAGTTAGGAAACTGTGTGGAACTGAAAACTACATTAAACTTAGTTCTAAAAGAGAACATCATGGGAATTTTAAAAAATTATTTTTGACAATTAAATATGGAAAATAGTAAGAAAGGCAAAAATATTGTAACACATTCCTATACAAACGAGAAGAGGGAAAGGTGGGTGATCGGAGCTCAAACCTCGCAGACTTCGAACGAGCTAGGAAGAGAAAAATGACGTCACTTTGACGTCACGTTTCTACTCCTAGGGAAAACCTGAAACCTCGCGCTTTCGAACGGATTTTGCTAACGGGCTGCGATCTTCATTTTTCTTCCCTTCTATCGGAAAGCTTTCACCTAACAATTTGCTGGTGAAAGCGATTCGAACGTTCGAATAGGATGCGTTTAACGCTGGGATTAAATTAGATTTCCGATTTCAAAGATAATTTTTACCCAGATATTTTATGATTTTTTATAATCATTTACCTAGATATTTTATGAATATATTTCAGACATAATTTTNAATACAATAATGCAAACAAGTTTAAAACGAATACTACATATTAAATTCTTGAAGAAAGATCAAAGATTAAAATATGTAGATATTTATTTTAGACTATGTATGTAACTGTCAAAATGAAAGAAGAATACATTCTCTTTCTGAAAGAACACTGTAAACTCTGGGATAGAGGTCACGACCCCTAAGCGAAGGGAGAACGATTAAAGGATAAACAAAAGCCATTGGTCACTTTCTTATAACTATCGATACAAGACGTCACTTNCGTAGAATAGAGCACTTTACCTATGGCAATACTTCGCACTCTTTCACCATTGCAGTGCGGAGAGTCATAGGAAAAGGAAGTATGCTAGATCCTGTCTTGATTTTCAAATAGATTAAAAACTTTAAGTTAGGAAACTGTGTGGAACTGAAAACTACATTAAGCTTAGTTCTAAAAGAGAACATCGTGGGAATTTTAAAAAATTATTTTTGACAATTAAATATGGAAAATAGTAAGAAAGGCGAAAATATCGTAACACATTCCTATACAAACGAGAAGAGGGAAAGGTGGGTGATCAAGACATGGATCTATCTCCTCTCCGCCGTATTCGAGCGTTGCGATCGCGATTGATATAAAGGCAGAAAGATCAATCACTACTAAAGGGACTCTAGAAATAATTAGAATTTACATCACGCAGAAAACCACAAAAATGTTCTAATATCAGCCTAATTCAATATTGAACAACTGAACGATATTATACTAACAGAAGATAATGATTATTAATCTATCAGTGATAATTAACATTTTCCAATTTATTGTGCTTTACATGAAATTTAATGTTTTGGGCAGATTGGATTGCTTACAAAAATATTATTTAATTTTATATAATCATTTTTTTTTGTAAGTACATAAATTGTGCTTTTTGTTTTTTTTTATTTCAAGCATTTGAATTTCAGAATTATATAATAGAAATTAATTTTTAAGAATATATTAGTTTTTTATAAATTTCGAAATTTGCAAATTGAAAATCTTTAAAAAAAATTCGGGGGGCAAAGGTGTTTAACTTCAGTAAAATTTGCGAATTTCAGCTCTTTCTGACGCAGAGACTAAGAGAGAATGTTATTAAAAAATTTTAATCATTTCAGTTTATTAAAATCAAATTAAAAAAGAAAAAAATTATATAAAGCTACTATAAATAAAATTTTTTTAATGAAGTTTTGTTTAGACAAACAGCTCACTAGAGGGCGTGAATATAGAGTAGAAAATAGTTACTAGACCTGGGGTGTCAAAGTTCACCGTGACATCCACTTGACCAGACGAACATTACAGTGAATTTTGACATCACAGGTCTAGTAACTATTTTCTACTCTATATCCACGCCCTCTAGTGAGCAATTTGTCTAAACAAAACTTAAGTAAAGATTATTGTTTCTTTATTGCTGCATATAATTTGTCCTTTTTTTATTTGGTTTTCGTAAATTGAAGTTATAAAAAATAAATTAAAATAACGCTCTATCTTTGTCCCTGTGTGAAAAACATCTGAAATTCGTAAATTTTACAGAAGTTAAAAACATTTTTTTTTAAATTTTTTAAAGATTTACAATATGGAATTTTTAAAATTTAAAAAAAACTAGCATATGCTAGTTTAGCTAAAAATTTATTTTATAAATCATTCTGAAATTTAAATGCTTGAAACAAAAAAAAAACACAATTTAAGTAGTTTCAAGAAAACAAAATAAAATAAAATAAAGAACATATTTTTGTTTAGCTGCCCAAAACAATAAATTTCATATAAAGATCAATAAATTGAAAAAGGTTAATAATCACTGAGATTGAGTCTCATTATCGTCTGTTAGCCAGTTAATAAAAGGTTTTCATTTGTGCAAAGTGTAAATACTAATTATTTTCATCCAAAAAGTCTTTTAAAATGAGATTTTACTCCTGTATTTAAATTGCGAGTTACTTTGATATCTGAGTTGTGAACAAAAATACATAAAAGTATAAAAATGAGACGAGCGTTTTACAACATTCATTAAGATGATAGATTGAATATATCAAGGATGATAAAAAAAAAAATTATTGATAATTTAAAAAAATTTCATTGATGTAATGAACATTTAGATGGAAGCCTAGTACCGTCAACAAAAATTGAAAAAGATTTTCGTGGTTTTCGCTTGCTTGTAAATTGTTGCCATAGGTAGAGAGTTCTGCTCTGCGACACCTGTAGCCCAGCCCTTTCGATTGTCAATCATATTTTCTCCAAAAATAAATGGTCCCGCAGTGGACTGATCGTTAATACACGGTTCCCAGCAGATCACCGAAGTCAAGCATCACTGGCTGCGGTCAGTGTGCGGGTGGGTGACCACTTGGATCAGTCTGCCTAGGGACCGAGGGTGTGCGGTATTGGTCCTCGTTAAACTGTGCTACCGCAAAGTACTCGACTTTGAGTGCAGGTCGTTGGGCTTCCGAAGCGGGGGTGCCATCCTCTCAGCAGAGGATCAAAATCGTGATGGCATGTCTTCGGATCATCCTCAGGGATGTTTCCCAGACTGTCGCCAATAGACCATTGTGCAGCTCTAGTGCGATGTAAATGAACTACTACAACAACAAAAATAAATATTACAAATAGACATAAATCAAAATAAAGAATTGAATACATAAACAAAAATGAACGAAAGAAAACATTGCCTAATAAATGTTAAGAAAATGACATTTTGATTTAAAAAAATCCTTCCTAGCAGAACCTAAACTCTGACCCTGTACACTCGCATAAAATATTCAAGAACAGTGGACAGAAGAACTACGAATTCCTAAAATATTTCTCCCTACATTTCTATTCACCCCCCTCTCCTTCTACGTGGTCAAACAAGATAATCAAGAGAATACCTCAAACAAGTGATGAGTCAGACAAGTGATAAATGAGTCAAACAGGATATTCAACAAATTTGGTGATTTTCCTTGGTCGCCAGTAAGGGATAGAAATTGCCAAATATATTAACCGGAAATAACGATAAAAACGATGATGATTACAGTCTTTCAAATAGGTGTATTTTTACGGCAGCCAAGCAATAGCCAAACTAGTAACCGTTCACCTGTTGCCACCAAAAAAAACAGACGTTGATTTCTTTCAAATCTTAGGCTAATATCTACAAAATCCACTTCGGAGTCACTCAGTGTGAATATTCGAACGCGATCGGAGTTGAAAATCAGTTTAGCAGCTAGTAGTACGCATGAAGATTTACAATATTTGGCCTCTTATCGCAGCTCGCACCTGGCTGAGGAGTCAAAATTTTGTCACTGGCGCATGCGCATTCTAAGTACCTGGTGTACGTGGAGACACAAGTATCTACGTTATTACACATTCTAATGTTATTTGGTGCTTAAAGTTGTTAAGCCGCTAATAGACGATGGCGAATCGACGAAGTTTTATGTTATCTCATGAAAATTTAGAAGATCTCTGCAATCATTTCAACACTGTAAGTTTTATATTTATTTTTGAATCTGGAAGACGCATAAATTGGTATTAAATACTTAAAGCTATTTGAATGCGAAGATAGTAGTTATTCATTAGGAAGTCTAGTCAATAATGATTTTAAATCAGCTATAAATGTTTAAATTTTTACTTTCTAAGGTAATCTGAACAACAAGTAACGAAGTACTGTTAATTCTATAATAGTCACAAATTGTTTTGAGTTTTCAACCGAGTTTGAAATTAAAAAAGTAAAACCTTTTTATTTCTTCGTATCTCTTGAAGTCTTACGAAACGTTAGATAGTTACTTACTTTAGACTGAAATAATTGCTGCTTGTTGGCCCTTAACAATTATCCCTTGAAACAATAACGGATTCCTTGAAAGGCGCGGTACTTAAAAAGCAACCTTATCAGATTTTGATTTTGTTTGTTCGACAATATCCGGCTGGGAAACGTTTTTCTAAATCAGAATCAACAAGACATCAATGCCAGAAGTATGCTTGGGTAGGGCATATTTCTATATCGGTCTCTGATATTGTCAAAAAGTTTAAGAAAAAAGTGGGGAGATTTCCATATCCTGACCTGTGGCAGAATAATAATAATAAGTCTTTGCAGCAGCAGCCCACAAGAAACTTTAAAAAAAAACATCACAGAAAGGGACCAACTCGAAAGGTATAACTCGTAGCCACCCGCAAGCAAGCATCTACATGTTTTTTTAATTTTAAATGTAGTTGGTGCGACAGATCACTCTACGAAAATATCCACGTAAAAATAATTAATTACTTTGGGCTTGATTATGAGTTGTATCTTTTAAATGAGCCTCTGAGATGTATTTTATTTTTTAAATTTTCCTATGCCATTGCATGTTGTTGCTAAAAATTAGGTGATTATTTTGGCACAGGTCTCAGTGCAGAAATCTTATCCTGAGGCATTATCTCAGATTGAATAAAAACATCAAAAATTTCAGCTTACCTATTAATTAATTATTACTTTCAAAAAAGTATTTAAAGGATCTTCAATAAGAAAAAAAAATTTTAGACTGTAATGTCTAATTTATATATTAAGATAAAGGACTTTTTAGACACAGCCAGATGTTGGCCAAGAGAACATGAAGGTTAAGAGTGCTCAATTTCAAGATTAATGTCATAATGGTTCAGTTAGTATTGTACACCAGCTATCTTTACATACCAGTTACCTATTTATCTAAAGCTTGGTAAGCTTGAATTCACCACCCACCAGGGATAGGTTCTATGTTTGTAGTACTTGAAAACATCAATTTCTCTCTCACTAATAATCAGATTCTAAAAATCACCAAAGTAAAATCGTAATTTTTATTTATACTCGGTCTCATAGTCCAGTGCTAGTGTTTCTTACACAAATAACACTATTTAATTAAACATTTATAATTTAATACAAACAACATAAATTTTGCATTTGTTTTGTTTTCTAATATTTTCATCTTTTTTTTTTTATCTTTTGTATACCTTTTAAATTGTATGAAAGGTATTTTCAGAGGATATGCAAAATTACTATTACTAAAATATTCACTTTGTAATGATAAAGCACTGTTTAACTTAAGTTGTGAAGAATTAATGAAAATATTGTACAATCCTGACTCGGTTAACTTGTTAAAGGAAAATTTAAAAATATTTAACTTTTTTTTATAGAGGAAATCATGCAGATTTTACATCCAAAGTTCATTGTAGGCAGTTAAAGGGAACATGCATGATAGGATAATAATTTAAAAGATATGTATTCAAGAGAGAAACTAAAATTAAAATGTATATGTGAGACTGATAAACATTTAACTTTGTACATTTATTTGGAAAAACTTACTTATTATTAAATTTCCTTTGAGCAATTTTACTTTTAGACCTACCATCTTTACATACAAAAATTTTTGTCTGGAAATACCAATGTTCATCATGTTTATTTAACTTATTTTAACTATAAGAAATTTACTTGATTAATTAAAAAATCATTTTAAACACATTTTATTTTTGTGAAATGAAAAAAAAAACCAAATTATTTATTACATATGTTTTCGTAACACACTCATTTCATCTTAAATTTTTGATTCATAAGTTAAATAAGAGAGATTGAGAAATTAAATAATAAAAACAAGCATAAATTTTATAATAGGTTTATTTTATTTATCAAGCACTGTCTTACTCAGATTTCTTATTTAGCATGCAAAAATCTATGTTTACAAACCCACTATTTCTTAAAAATTTCATTCTGAATAAGTCAGATAAGTATTAAAAGTATTGTTTTATTTTATAGAGAATATGGGTCAATGTTTAAAATATAATGTTTTGAGTAAGAATTTTTTTTTTACAAACAAATATTTATTACAGAACCGATTTCTATTTTATAAAAAAATATTTATTTATTAATGATGCATTGATTTGACAGCATAAGTTTTCGTTTTAGCATTTTTTTTCACAACCAATTATCTACAAAATGTAAACAAATCATCTTAAGACATTTTTGAGTGTGTCAGATGCGACTCCTTCTACCTGATTGGATAAATTTATTAACCAGGCAAAGTTTCAGTGCATATACATCCGATCACCTTGTTCTTGCTCTAGAGTTGTTAAATCTTGGCAAAACTACATTTGAGCAAAGAGGCCTAGTTTTTTGTTACGCAATTCGCATAGATGAGGTTTAAACCATTCAGGCTAATTCAGCCTATAACCTTAAAAGTGAGATTAAATCCGTTTTTTTTTTCCAATTAAAATAAAAATACTTATAAAAGTAAAATACTCATCTTCAAATTTATTTTTCCAAATTTTTAATTATGTGTTATATCATAGAGTAAAATTTATCAGCTTATTCACTTTTTCATATTAAATCTGATTTTTCCCCTTTCACTTATTTACAGTTGGATAAAGATGGCAATGGATACTTAGATGTTAGTGAATTAAAACAGGCTTTGGAGATCGTTGGCTTTAAGATTCCACAATGGCAAGTTCGCCAAATGATTGATGACATGGAAAGAGGACACACTGGCATTAGAAAAGGAGAGTTGTCCTTCGATGATTTTCAAATGGTTTGTTTATTTTTTTGGCTCGTAAGTTTGGGGGAGGGGGTTGATTTTTTTAAAAAAAGAAATATCTACTTGAAAACTACTTATTTAATTATTAATGATAAGAGATTAGATTTGCTGGAAATGATATGAAAATTTGATTGTAAATGTGACAAATTTGAACTAAAATAAAAATGTCAGTTGAAATATTAACTGTGTAGTATTGCCTTATCTCAGAAATTTGACCATTCCCAGTCAATGATTGGTGGAATCAGACCATAGGACCCAGCCCAAGCCATTAAAAAGCAGCCTATACCATTATAGAGCCACCACCAGATTACACGGTGCCTTGTTGACAACTTGAGTCCATGGCTTTGTGGGGTCTGTGTCACACTCTATGACCAAATGAGTCACACTCTATGACCACAGCTATGACCAAATGAGATCTTGACTCATCTGACCGAACTACAGTTTTCTAGGATCCGAGGATTATGGCTACAAGCGCAGGAGAGGCCCTGCTCGTGATGCAGTGCTGTTGGTAAAGGCACTTAAGTCGATATTCTGCTGCTTTATCCCATTACAGACAAATTTTGTTGCACTGTCCTAAAGGAATGGATCATTTCATGTCCCGCATTGATGCTCTTGTGGCAGAATTTTTTTGGGCTTTCTGTGACAGACTTCTCTAGCGCTAATATCTTTCTATAACCTAATTTTCGTAGCAAATTAAAAAATTAAGTGTGAAAGGCCAAATAATTTTATTTCATGGGCTTTTATAAATGACTCAAATCTAACAATAACGGACATTATTGTACTTGCATTTTGTCATTACCGCACCTACATTGCCTGCTTACGACCTCTCCCTCGCTGTGAGGTGTGTGCTTACTGGGAAATGTGCGTCTCGTACAATGTAATGTGCAGTATAGTACATGAAAATCGTATCATATGAAAAGCTATTCTAACAATTTAGTTTTTATCTTGTTAACTGTAGTTATTAGAATCACTTAGCACTTTCTTGTTAATTAGTTAACATTTCATGAATAGAAGCAAATGCTATCTTTAAAATATTCCCTCATAAAAAGTTTTTGCCAAACCAATATATTTCAAAAATAATGATGTATATACTTGCATAAATAAAAAAAAACAATGATTGAGTGAATTAACAAAAGAGCATCATTATGTTCGATATTGCTATTAAGCTCCTTGTAATTCTTTTAATTTCACAAAATCGAGCAATTTCTAATTTACAGTAGACTTAACTTTTTTGTTTAAGTTAGGAATTATAAATTTGTTGCACCCTATTATGATTTGAAGAGGTAAAATATCATTTACTTCATTTTTTTTTGTTGAAATAATGAGAAAATTTCATGCAAATAAAATTTTCTTTGTTTAAAGAAAAATAATTTTTTTCATTAAAATTATTTCTTGCATTAATAATTATGTTCATATCACAACAATAACTCAATCAATATCTTAAACAAGTAACAGGGATGAGATTTTTCCCCTTTTTTTACTTTTGTATCTCGAATTTCAGCCTTTTTATCGGAAACTCTGATTATCTAAAAGTTCAAATTTTTATTTTTAATATAAATATTCCGCATTTTCAGAAATTTCAGCTCTTGGAATAAATAATTATATTTATTTCCGATTTTCAAAGATAAAAAGAAAATTCAAATTACATAGTTGCCAACCCTTCCGCATTTTAACTAATTTTAGCTATTTTCTCCTCTTTTACGCACAGAAGATAATATTTTCGGCATGTTTACCCGCCTGCCAGATAGCTTGTGTTTTCGTAATTAACGAGCGTCAAAGGAGCCTTTTAGAAGTCTCAAGCCCAGATTCTGCTAACATTTTTATTCTTATTCACGCAATTTTAATATCAAACATAGCTTTTCGTATTTACGTGATTAAAATTTGCGATTCTTATTCACAAGCTTTGAATGTCATACATTGTTATTCTTATTTACAAGATTTAAAATTCCAATATCACAATTTGTATAGATGTGTTCTTAAAAACCTATGTAGCAATTCATATATGCGGTTATAATATCAAACATGGATTTTCATATTCATACGTGATTTTAAAGTAAGGCTTTGGGATTCGCATTCACATGATCTAAAAATTATGCATCGTAATTCGTATTTATGGGATTTAAAAATTACACATTGTGGTTCATATTTACGCGATCTAAAAATTATGAATTCTGATTTGTATTTACGCTATTTAAAAATTCTATAACGCAGTTTGTATTTTCTTGTTCTTAAAATCGAGTTTCATATTTACGTGGTTTCAAAATCCATTATTGTGATTCATATCCACCCGATTTTAAAATCAAATATCGCGATTCTCGTAAGAAGTATGTTTTTCTTTAATTAGTTACTATAAATTTGTCTATTTTTTCTATCGACAATTATTAGTATATGTAGGTATATTCGAAACTTACATTCTTTGCTTGCAAAGAAGAATGTGACACAGGCAGGTAAAGAAAGAAGAAATAGGATTTGTCAAAATATGTTTGAGGATGGGCTAACGACTAAATTAATCACCAATCTGTTTCAGCTCATTCAAAGGCTGCATTACGAGCAATTTGACCTTTTTAAAAGATGTTTTTGCTTGTTTTGTAAAACATGAAGTATTTGCAGCAAATTAAACAAAAATAAAAAGAAAGATATAGCAAACATAAAAGATGTAGCAAACAAAAGCAATCACTTAGAAAGTTTTTAAATTTTTTTTTGGAAAAAGAGTTGATAAACTCAACACCAAAATTGNTCTCGTTCCCATTTCAACACGACGTCACCAACTGTTGACTGTGGTACCTGAAACTTGTCGGAGATGGCACGTATGGAATGACCAAATCGGTGGGCGCCTATGATCATGCCCCTTTCCGCCTCATTCAGCTCTCGTCGTCCACTCATTTTCACTGTTAACGCTCGTATGGCCGTCGCCTGCTTGCGAGTGGTCTTTCCCCCGCCCCAGGTTCCGTATTTATTCCGCCAGGACGAGTCCACCATCCGTTCAAGGGGTGTCCGGTCATTAATGGCTAGATAGTGTACTTAAGCTATAAAATGCAAAATTCATATCAGATGAAAAATAATTATTTAAATAGCTGCTGATTATCATGTAATTTTTCAAACTAAAATAGCAATTTTTGTATGTTAAGGAGTTATTATGTTTCTACTACATAGTAATTGACATGTTTCACGGGTCTCTAGCTGGATTAGATTATAATATGAACATAATGATTCTAAAGGTAAAAGTTTATTTTCTTATCTAAATAATTTAAAAAGTCATGTTACTGATATACTTGTTATAAATCATGTAACAATATTTTTTACAAGAAAGGTGTAATGTTAATGTATGTTCTCAGTAGTTTTAACTCGCTAAACCAAGCAGTTTCTCCAGTAATAATTGTCTCCTGTTTGTGAACTGAAGAAAAATGTAATTTTTTAGCTTTATTTTTTCAATTGGTAGTTTTACTTTTTATTAAATGTTAAGTATCGATGTAATCATTCATATATTAATAAATGAGTACACAATTTTATGCCAACATATAGTTATTTATTTGTTTCTTAAATTGTCTGGAATTTATTATTAAACGATTGCACACGGGTAAAATTTACTCGCGTGGAAATTCAGCTTTTTTGCCTTTTGGCCAATCTCATCCCTGAATTATCTAAAATAATTTTAGGATATACATTGTTAAAATTTTTTTTTTTTTTAATTTTGATCTCTATTAATAAATTGTGTATTCAATTAATATTTAAACTATGTTTCTTAATTTATTTTTTGTTTAAATAGATTTATAGTGAATTAAAATCAAAAGAGGTGACTAATGTATTCAAGACTGCTGTATCAAAACGAGAAAATTTGCAACATTTAGGTGGAATGTCAGAAGCTTCAAGCGAAGGTACAACTCATTCTGTGAGACATGAAGAACAAGTAGCCTTTTCAGATTGGATTAATTCGTATGTATTCATTCTATTTTATAAAAAGTCTGTTTTCAAGTTATAGTAGAGACTTGCACTTTTACGAAATACTGCTTTTTTCTAAGGACTAAAGAAGTTAGAATCCATTCTATAGAAAAATCTGATACTGGTCTTTTTTGCTTATTTTTATTTCAGTAATTTTAGGGAAAAAACGTGCAATTCCAGCTTTCAACAATAAAAAATAATAAGGAGCTTAGTAAATGTTTTTAAATTTAAATAAAATCTACGCAGAAAAGCAGATTAAAAAAATTTGCTTTCAAAAGACCATAACAAGCCACACAAACTCATTCCTTTATCATGTTTCTTTTTTTCCACCATTTTTTTTTTCTATCCTTATCTCCATGGCAACAAAAGTAGGGTGATCTGCATAGCTGCCAATTGTCCAGAATTTTTCGGATTTGTTCCCAATTTTTAAATCAAATCTGAAAATTTGATATTTCTATAAAAAATTAGAATTTTCGTAAAATTGCAGTATTTTTGCTTTTAAATTAATCCCTTGTTTTGATCGCCGCAATCGCGCTTACTGTGATTATTGTGCAGAAGTAATTTTTTGTAGCTTTTTATTTTAAAATACTATTTCGATAGTTGTTTCTGAAAATTTCACTAAATTGAATATTAAACAGCTTTTATTGTTTTTTAAAAACTGTATTGTATTTAAACACTTGCATCAGAAATATTTGTTTATGATGTAGTTCAATATTTACCTGTGTTTTATAATTTGGAGAAGAATGATTATATATTACAGTACAGAACCCATTATCCGGAAATCAGAAAACTGGAAAGCCATAAAACCGGAACGAAATTCGATAAATTTTCCCGCCATTTTTTAAAAAAAAAATTTTTTTTTTCCCTCATAAGATTTTTCTTTCTTTTTTGAAAGATGTTTTATCTTACCATCATTTTGGAAGTAATCATTATTGTATTACTTCGTTTTTTCTACTTTTTAAGATTATTTTCAAATATTTTTTTTTTTCAGTTGGGTTTAACAATAAAAAAAACGGCTTTTTGTAGCGATTCAGAAAACCGGAAAAATCAGTTATCCGGAATAGCGATAGTCCCGATCGTTCCGGATAATCGGTTCCCTACTGTAATAGGTAATGGTTGTTTTTAAACTATTATACCGGTATTCCTAATTATTAAATAGTAATATTATAAATTTCCCACAAAAGATAGTGTGTATTATTTTGTAATAATTAAATTTTTGTCTTACTCTCGTAATTGGTGCATATAATTTTGTTGCAAATAGTGTATATTTTTTATTCTTAAGGTTGGCAGCTATAGATCTGCAGTGTGGTTTTTTTTTTTTACCATGTTGCAGAGTTGTGCATTGAAATCAAGACAGAATAACTTGAACTAACATTTATTTTACTTTTAAATAAAACTAAAAATTAAAATCATATTCTATTTATCTAACATGTGCAAGCTTGTGCAGCAAATTACACATTCTCGAGATCAGCAATACCCTCACATAACCATACTCAGAATAACTACTGCCTGCTGCTCTTTGAACTGAAAAAGAAAAAAATTTTGTGTTTTAAAATGCTTGAGACTGACATATCTCCCATTGGTTTCATGCATTTGCCTGATCAACTTTCTTATGTGTAAAAGACTAAAGTTAATGTTTAGAACTTAAAAATTAAATCCTTCCATTCGGCCCATTTTAAACTTAATCAATAAAATACTAAAAAAAATATTCTTTTCTCGGAGGTTTTGTTAGATCGTTGGCCATGTTTTAGTTTCTATTAATGTACTTTTAAGTTAAACAGATTTTCTTCCAGCATATTTTTAATATACTGATATTTTACGTCTATGTGTTTTGTCTTCGTGTTTTCAATTAAATTCTTAGGAAACTAAATTGCATCTTTGCTATTTCTTAGTTTGGATTAGTGCTTTATTTTCTTATAAAACTCAGTTCAATCAACACTTAGTTTGTTTTGTTAACTAATGTGCAATTTTTTATTCAATATTTTTTTGAATTATGATTTTTTTCCTTTTTTAGAAATCTAGGAAGAGATCCTGATTTGAAACATTTATTGCCAATTGATAGTGAAGGCAAAGCATTATATGATAAATTGAAAGATGGTATACTTTTGTGGTAAGCTTAATTTTTTAATCTATGATAATAAATTATAGCTGGAAATTTGTTTAAAAATATGAGTTCTAAATTGGTTTTGATCAAGTTATATGTATTTTTTTAAATAGCAAAATACAACTTCAAAACTTCAGTAGTTATTTCTATTCAAATATTGAAATATTTTTGTTACCCACCTTCCTCACTAGTGATTTATTCAATGTGATTAAAATTTGCGATTCTTATNTTTTTGGTTTTTTTTTTTTTTTTTGTTATCAATCATATTTGTGGTCATCAATGTGAATATATTTGTGACCGTCAATGTGTATTATATCTTGTCTTTATTTTTGACTCCAACCAGCTTTAACACATTCCAAGAATGATACTCTGAATTGGTATTAATATTATTTGCGTTTTTTCCTCAATTAAATATATTTATGATCCTAAAAGTGTATTATTTTTTGTTTTCCTTTTGACACCTACTAGATTTTACACTTTCCAAGAATGATATTGCAAATCGGTTGTGAGATAGCTATTGTGCGTCAGTGAAACTCAGAACTTTTTCTGTGTCCCTATTTTACGAAATGAATCTTTATTCCTCTATTAATATTCACATTAATAGTTATTCTATCCATTGAACAAAATTAAGAATTTTGAAACAAGAAGTATTTAAACAATCAAAGCTTTTAATTAGGTCTGATCAATTATCTACATCAAGGAAAAACTGCATTATAATTTGATACTCAAAATTATCTTAATCTTCTCCTTAATATCGAAAGAATAATTTTTTATTTAAATATAGTAGAGAACCAATTATACGGGATGCTCGGGACCATCGCTATCCCGGATGTCTGAATTTCCCAGTTTTCTGGATTCAATGTTTTATCGAACTCGAATTACAAGGAAAAAGTGTAATGTATAAAGTAAGAGAAAAAAGAAAGGTACTCCTAACTTTAAAAAGACAAAAAAACAAGATTAAAAAATACAAAATTCTCGTATTTATTTTTTAAAAATAATTACAATTCCTAAATTAACTAATGGTTAAATAAAGCAATATATTTCATACCTAATTATATGGGGTAAATGATAAAATAAAAGGAAAATTTATTAATCTAAATAAAAACACTTGAAAATAATCGAACCGAAACAATAGTTAAAAAAGGCACTAGCATAAATATTGAAACCCAGAACAAGGCAAGATCAACGGAATTTTTAAAAAAAACCTAATGATGCTGAATTTGGCAAATAAAGCCATGAACCCATTTTGCCTTGTTCACACTGTACAAGAATCTGATGGGATATCATGATGTGGTGCATGTTCTGCCGATGTGAAAGTGGTGCTTTACTGTACTATTGTTAAATTATTTTAAAAAAACTACTTTTAAAGTGTCAAAATAATGCTAAAATAACTTATATGTACTGAAAAATTCTCAAAAAAATTAAGAGAAAATGACTAGAAAAACTAACAAAATACACATAAGTTAAATACCAAATGTTAAAAAGAAAAACATTTTCGAAAAATTAAGATTAAAATTAATGTAGGCTTTTTTTAAAATTTTTTATAATTAAAAACGGCCGAAGATTGATTAGTTTAAATATAGTCAAATTCAGTGAAATTGTTATATTTACATGCATTAAATAAATATTAAGAAAAATCTAAATTTTTATTAAAAAGTGAAAATTACTTAGATAAAAAATACCGCTGCTAAACTCTATTGCTTAAAATGAAACAAAAATTATGAAATAAAAAAACAATGAATATTTTATTTATTCATAATTTCTTTTCTCTATTATATTTAGTTCAGATCAAAAATTCAAGATAAAAATGAATCAAAATAACAGCAATTGCAGAGCGTTCGAAAAGTAACCGTACGCCTACTAAAATTAATTTACAAGAGATGTTGAAACCTGACAGACAAAAAAAAGTGACAAAATCATGTGCAACAATTGCTAAGTATCAGAAGTCCCACTGAAAATAATATGCAAGAAACGTTAAATACCGATAAAATAAAATGCAGGGGGACGGCAAAATAACAAAAGTCCTCCTAAAAATAATCTTCAAGAAACGCAAGAAGAGAAACTAAGCATTGCATTTTACATTTCACAGCTGTTCCTTGGATTTGCCATCACAAAAGGAATATCTTTTTTATAGCAAGATGAAATCAAAATTAACCTGTAAGAAAAGTTAAATGAAATTGATATTAGTTATCGTTTATTTATTTTTTCTGTTGAATGAAGTATGGTTGATCTTTGTTTATCTTAAAGATGCACTCTTTGGAAAAATATGTTTTCCATACTTACCAAAGCCCTGGCAATTTTGGATGTGGGACTTTCCACTGCATCAGAATATCAAAACATATGAAAAACTTTCCATTTTAAAAGGCGTAGGTAATTTACAATTAGTTCCTTCTTTGGGTTAACTTAATTTATAGTTTTTCTACAATTATTTTGTAATAATTCTCTTTAATAACTACTTAGTAAATTATTTCTTCTCTTACAGCAAAATCATCAATCATTCTTGTCCAGACACTATTGATGAAAGGGTAATCAACAAAAAAAACTTAACATTATACACAAAGCACGAAAATTTAACTTTAGCTTTAAATTCTTCTCAAGCTATTGGCTGCAATGTTATAAATATTGATGCCCATGATTTAGCCAAAGGGAAACCTCATTTGGTGCTGGGATTACTGTGGCAAATTATTAGAGTATGTATATTATTTTTATTTTTGTATTCTTGAGCTTTCATTGCAACTTAATTCATCAAATTATACTAGCAATATTCGTTATAATTTCTCCCTAACTAATTGTTTTGTTTTCTACATTTCAGATTGGGCTCTTCAACCAGATATCTTTAGAACATTGCCCTGGACTGGTCCAGTTAGTTAGTAGTGGTGAAGATATGTCTGATCTTATGAAATTATCCCCTGAAAATATCCTTCTAAGATGGGTAAATTATCATTTAGAGCGGGCTGGATCTCAAAGAAGAATTACTAATTTTACAACAGATATTAAGGTAACTACTTTATTTGTAAACTTGATGAAAACTGGTATGTGAAATAGATAGTGTTAGTACACTTCAACTCTTTTAATGGTTTCTTAACAAAGTAAAGCCTATTTTCTAACTCTACTCAAATAATTATGTGGAGTAATAATTTATACTGCACTTTGTTTTTCACAAGTAAATTAAGTTTACACTGCTTTTGAAACTTGAAGAGCCTCTTTCAAAATTATAGTTTTAATTTCGATTTTCAATAAAAAAAAATTTATTTAGCTTAATTCAATTGAGTTTTTCAATAAAAAATTACTTTTACTATTTCAACTATGTTAAATAGCCAATTGATTTCTTTTGCGTATTTTTATTGCAACAAAAACTTTTTATGATTAATTTTTTATTATTAATTTACTATATGTTGTCTAGAAAAAAGATAATATGAATTTGAAAAGTATGAATTGGAAATTGTTGAAATTGACATAAATACAAACATTGATTTTATTTTGTATGGATTCAAACCCTCATTCCCTGCTTACATTTTTAATTAAAATTATAAACAGCTCATCAAAAATGTTATTTCAACAAAATATACTTGGGAAGTGTAAAGCAAATCACAAAATATGAGTTTTAAAGAAAAAAAAAACATTAAAAAATTACCTTACATTTTGTGCATTAAATTATAAAAACTATTACTTTCAGAAATATCATCTTATACAATAAGACAATCTTGAAATCAATATTTCCTTAACACTTCAAATTAACATAAGTTCATGATAAATTTGCTTCCCACTTGATTCCTAAAAATTTTAATAAGGAGAAATGTTTATATCCTAGTATGTGTCCTGTTTTTTTACCATTGACCTTTATTTGAGTTACATAAATTTGATTAAAATATTTTCATAAGGTGTCCAGTGAAAGGCAAAATCGGCAAAACCAGGAATTATTAGGAAATTTATTAATTCTGGAAATATCATGGATTTTCTCAAATATCTTGATAAAACGGGAAATTTTTTTAAAACAAGCGATCCCCGAATTCTCCAATCCATGAACTGTGCTTCACTTATAATTACACAATCAAGTTTTCTCCCATATTTCTTCCCAATTATCGCGAAATTACGATCAGTTTTACAGCAATAATTCATTGTTTTTTTGGTTGTTTCCCTATGGTTTTTCAAATTTAGAATGTTATTGCATGCAGATTTTGAATTTCAGCTAATTTTTTTAAGCTTTCAATTTGCGGCGATTCCATCATAATTTCTCATCTCTTGGTGATAGTTTTTTCAAAAACTATTTATTGTTTTCAACCCCTTTCGCATGGTATTTAAATTTCGATATTTTTTATGCCATGTTATTAAAATGTGCTATTTTCGAATTTGAGTAATCACTTTTTGAAGCATTCAATTTGTGATGATTCCATTGTAATTTTTCATTATAATAGATTTTCAGTAGCTATTTATAAATTTTTTCTTTGTTTTTCAAATTATGATATTTAAATACTATGTTATTATGACGTGCAAATCTCGAACTAGAGTTTTTACAAGTTATTTACATTTTTTCCCCCTTTCACATAATTTTTCAGATTCAGATATTTTTAATATGACGTTATTACCATGTGAATTTCAAATTAGGGTTATCACTTTTTGATGAGTAAGATTCCTGATGATTCCATCATAACTTCACATTGTTGAATGCGTCGTTTTTAAGTTGTTTATTATCATATTTTCGTCCATTTCTACATGGTGTTTCAAATCCTATTTTTTTTATAAGTTATTATGATGTGCGATTGAATTTGAGGCATCACTTTTTAACATGTTCGATTCGCGACGGATCCTCCATAAATTCACATCTTTTCCTGGTTTTTTTCAGCCATTATCAATTGTTTTTTCTAAATTTGATATTTTTTATGCTATGTTACTGTGACAAGCTTGCATTTCAAATTTATGGAGTCACTTTTTAACTCGCTCAGCTTACAAAGATTCTATTGTAAATCCTACTAAAGTAGTGGGAAAATACTAAATATTAAAAGATGTGGGAACCAATGACTGCCTCAAATTTTAAAAAAATAATTGTTGCTTATTGAAATTATATTAATTTTAAATTTCATAAAATTGAGTCTTTAATTTTGATGATAAATTATTAAATCTATTGTAGGACTCTGAAATTTACACACAGCTGTTGAAACAAATTGCTCCATTAGATTCTGGTGTTACACTGGAACCAATGACAGTAAGTGCTTATTTAATCATGATGGTAGTTATGTTGTTTGTATGATGACCAAATTCGTTGTATAATTTAAGCTTAGTGATATTTGTATCATGTTTTTTCAATAAATAATTGTTTGTTTTTTCTCATGAAATTTAAACAAGATACTTAAGAAACATTAGTGTAGTAAAAGTATTTTTTTCCATAAATAGGAGACATTTTGATCTGTAAAAGATAAAATATTATGCAGATTTCATTCACAGCTATTCTTAATGTGCAGAATTATATTAATAATTTTCATTATTCATGAAAAGAAATTTAGCATAAATAGTGGTAAATGATAATAATTGTGGTCAAAAATAAAAAAAAAAGCATAAAAAATTTAGCCAACAGATAATCTGTACAAAATAGAAAGAAAATGTTAAAACTATGGTCATTCTGCCCCTTGACATCTTCAATGGCATTCATAAACTCTTGAAACATTAGACTAATGTATAGAGAGCTTATAGGAAGAACCAGACCGTGGGAAAGTTCTTATTTTGGCTTTATTTAAATATATAATCATTTATATTGTTGAATCAATTAATTCCGAAGATGCTCAGTGGAAGAACCAGCTAAGTGACATTGTTTGAGTATTCAGAGAATTGAAGAACCAGCTAAGTAACTTAGTGACTAATAATCTGTAAACAACCCGATAAAATCCCTTGCTTGGTATCAAATGCAAAGGCACGGGGGGGGGGGGNGGGGGGGGGGGGGGGGTGAGAATTGGTGAAAATGAAAAACTTGAGAAAGCAGCTTATATACATCAAGGAAGAGTTGATGTTCTTTTACGAATCAGTAATTAAAAAAGACAATAAAGTCTTACCCTTAAGCAGCTTTATCATACTTTTTTTTGTTTCTGGTTCGCATTAATTTGTGTATCTGAATCAGTCACTGCATGAGTAAAAAAAATTCAAGGAGAAGTCTCGTTGAAAATAAATATTATTTTGTGCTTAGGCAACTTTTTCAGTTTATTGTTACTTGCTAAATTCTAGTTTTTCTTTTTAAAATGAAATTAAGTAATCAATAAATCAATAATGATCAGCATGCAAAATCATGCGCAAAATTAAGAAGAGATATGTAGACACAATCATTATATTCCTCATATTCAATCATATTATTCTGTTGCTCGAGACCAATTCCTGATAGTCAAAAGTTACCACAATCAACAATTTTCTCCAGTACTTACCCCATTTCGTAGGCTGTTTAAAACTTATTTCGACTGTACTCATAGTAGGTAGACATTGAATATTTATTACTTAGCTATTTACGCTTTTTGTTATTCTTTTTGCAATAAAATTTAAAAGAACATGATATTTACCTCTCATATAATTAGTATATAAATTATTATATTATACACACTATGATTGTTTTAATGCAGACATGAATGTATATAGTGATATTTATGTATATTTTGTTTTCTCAGAGAGAATAGTTACCCATAGAAATTACATGTTCCTTTGAAGAAATAAAATTGGACACCAATCGTTAGCTCTAGTAGTTTACGATTTCTTGAGCAAAACTTTTTTTTGAAGAAGTTTTTAATTTCTATTTTAGTGATTCAAGGCAAAAAGTTTTTAATATCTGAACTTATAGCTCATGATTAAAATGCAGGTTAACCGCATGTTTGCTGGCATTTATTACTAATAAGTGACAAAACTAGATCTTTGATTTTCATGCAAAGTTAGGTAACGTTGTCGGTTTTTATACACAGTTAGTGGATTTTTGTTAGAACAACTCTGGTACTTATTATGGCATAATTTTATGAACATTGTAAACAAATAGAATTCACTTTAATTAAAAAATGAAGACTGAGGCATTGAACTTCTCAACCATGAGAAATAAAGTGATTTGTAGAACAAACTGAAAGACATGCATGGTCATTCTATGACCATGACCACAATAACTGATAAACCATCTATTGGAGGAGGAAAAAATGACAAAAATTTCATCAAATTATTCACATATGGCAGATATGGATGGAAAGCTCAGCTACCAATAAAACAAAGAATGAACAGATGTCTAGTTTTTTTTAGGAATCAGAACTTATAAAGGACATGGGATCATAAGAGGACCTCCCACACGTCCTCCCGGGTAAAAAGATTTTGTAAATTAATAATGTTTCAAATATCCATGTTTAAAGAAAACTGTGGAATGGCAATCTTTAATAATATGAGGTGATGTCATACACAGAAATTCACAATATTATGGAGCTTGAATGGTCATTGATTGATCTATCACTGTGTGTAGATGAATACCAATAAAAGAGGGAAGATTTTTCTGAAAGATGGTTTGGAACTACTTTTGGAGGTGTAGAAAAGAAAAGAGGGAAAAAGATTTAGTTATAACGTAATTATAACCAATAATATAAAATTAGTTACAACTAATGTTTAGTTTATAATATAACTGTAAATTTGACTAGAGTATAAGTAATGCAAAAAAAAAAATTTACATTTTAGCTTGAAATATAAAGTATTGGATTTAATATAATCATAAAATTTTTCTATAAATAGTAATAGAATGGAAATATTTTTATCTTTTATAATAATACAACTTATTATGTAGAAAAATAATTAATACTAAACTTTGGTAACTATAATGTAGGTGCTAAAACTATAATATTTTCTGTTTCCGTGTTTTTTATGAAAACATTTTTGAACATTGGTAACAGAAGGAAACATGATGTAAATTCAAGTAATGTTTTATTTTATGTTCCAAAAGAAAAAGTAAACTACCGTTATAAGTTTTATGTGCAAGAAACATTCTAATTGCAGCTGAAATTTTTATAAGTTGTAAATTGGGTATTTATTTTTAAGAAAATTTTTCTAAATGTCTCTCTATTTTGAAAAGGACCCATATATATGTATATTTTAAACATTTTAGAAATCAGATTTGTTAGAAAGGGCAGAAGTAATGCTGAAACAAGCAGATAAAATTGGTTGTCGAAGTTTTTTGACACCAAACGATGTTATTGATGGAGTGTACAAGTTAAATGTAGCTTTTGTGGCCAATCTTTTCAATAACCATCCTGCTTTAGATCAGCCTGATGAACCTATTGAAATGGTTAGTTTAGAAGAAACACGAGAGGAAAAGAGTAAGTTTTTATTATTTAAACCAATTTAATTTCTTTGTTATAAGTTTATAACTTAGCAAGTTATTTGTAACATAACCATGTGTAACTGGTAAGATTTTTACTTATAACAGAAATAAAGATATGAATGCTTATATGTTTGTTTATATGTAAACAGGACACTTAAAATTGAGAAATTTAAGTGGCTAGATTTGAACCCCAATTTTTGCACATTATAATTTTTTTTTTTTTTTTTTTTTTTTTGAATGGTTGGTAAACGCTAATTGTTAGTTATGCATGACCCCAAATTTACAAATATTATATATAGATTTTAATCACCAGCTATATTTCTTGGAACATTATCCTGTGTATATTGTTTAAATGTAATTTTTGAGAGAGATTTGCAAATGTTGTAAAAAACTGACTTATTTAATATTAGCTAATTGGTGAAAATTATAAAAGTTTTCATACTTTTTCAATATTTATTTGATGCTTAAAACAAAATATCTTTATTTCAACTTTTTTTGTTTTAGCTTATAGAAATTGGATGAATAGCATGGGTGTATCTCCATATGTTAATTGGTTGTACAGTGACCTTACCAATGGATTGGTAATATTTCAGGTAAACTCTGCCTTTGATAAAAGTATAGATTTATTACTGTATGGTTCTTAAGTATTTTAAGTGCAGTGTATTATATATATATTGACCAATTTATATACTACAGCATGATGGTCGACATATTCCGAGAGGCAACTAATGAATGGGTGATTAAATTGTTTTAGCGACTTAAGTGTTGTAACTACAGAATTCAACTTAAAATTATAGCAAACATAAAGTTTTCACTATTTAATTTGATATATTTTTGAAATAGGGAGAACTTCAAGTTTTATATTTACTAGAATCTTTACATATAATACGACAAGTTTATGTGTGTCTGGCAATGTCTTTCTCTACTGCACTGTAGGCAAATGGTAGAACTAACAGATGCAAAATTTAACATGAAGGGTAGATGTTGTTAGTTTTGCATCTCCATGATAGGGACCAGATTTTAAATTTTTTAAATTTTTTCCATGCTGTGTTCGTTTGATTTTAACTTTGAAAGTTACCATCTACTATTCAGAATATTGTTTAAAATTGTAAATATGGTCTGCTAACTATTTAAAATTTTTACTTCATGTATTTTTAAAAATTTGTTTACTTGTTTTTGTTGTGTGATGATCTCTGTAAATTCATTAAAAATATAAAATATAGCCCTTTGCTTAGGTTGCTATTCTATTTACTTTGTATTTTACATAGTATAAAAGTCTTGAGATATGTTAATTTTTTTCTCTCCACGTTATATATTCAACCTTTTCCTATTTCAAAGGGGCCAACTATTACTATTTATCTACAATTTTTACGGTTTTGTAGTTTAGATTACAGTATTATGGTTGATTGATAAGTTTTGAAATTTTGAGAATTTTTTCCAAGCATTTTGAAATTTTGGTAAATGCAGCTAATCTAGGATTATTTTTTTCTTCTTACTTCTTAAATAGTTCATTAAAAAAAAAATTTACTTATAGAAGAAAAAAGCGAAATGGTTTTACAAAGCAAGAAATAAAAAAAATTCTAGAAATAATTAAAAAAATAAAATAAATAAAAGCAAAGAAGCTTAAGTCACTCTTCAAACCATGCTATTTTTTTTTACATTCATCAAAGTCTTGGTTGAAAAAATGAAGCAGTTTCATTTTTGTTTTGTTTTCCAAGTGAACTTGTGTGTTTAATTCTGTGATAAGGTTTTTGCTAGATTCACAGAGAGATAAGTAATTAAAGAGAAATGGTGAAACTACAAATATTGTTGTTGAAAAATCTTTAAAAAATGCAAAATTTCATAGACGGGATCCAGTTACCACAACAATAAACTAGAATGAATTGATTAAGTGAATGTATACTATAACCTTCATTACAAGTACATTTAACCTTCTACTTATAATTTTACTATCTCCTAAGAAAACTTTAGTAGGCCTTGTAGATATGATTATCATGACCTGGTAGTTGTAGCAAACCAAGCATGTTATTTATTATTATTATTTATTTATTTATTTTTTCCCAATTTGCAGAATTCTATGAATCTCTTGATCGTTGATTTGTTAACTTCTGTAAATCAAAATTTTTATTCTGACAAAATTCACTCGAGAGTTCCTTTTAAACTAAAATTTAAATTTTATAACTTTCACAAAGTACCGTTAGCGATACATTTATTTCTCCCTTACCTGCACCTTTTTTTAACCAAAATTCTGGTCAATGGAGTAACAACAATTTTTTATTCTAATTTGCAAAAGCAAAATGCAATTTTTGGATATCTTTCGAGAATTCTAGATTCAAAGAAAAATTCTGTAGTAACTGGCCTTGGCTAAAATTACTCTATTGCCCTGGCAAAAAAATTATTAAATTAATAATGTAAAAAGTAATCCAAAAATTGGTTATGTTAACTATTAGATTGGTATATCTAATTTAACTTCATATTAGTTAGTTTTTCTGCTTTTCTTCTTCTATCTTTAACTCATTTACAGTTAAAAAAATTTGTTTATATATTTTAAAGGCATAGACGTATTATAAAGAATGATTTTTATCTTAGGATAATTGTTCTTTATTTTGAAATGTCTGTTTTATTGTCATGGAAGAATACACCCTGATAAGAACTTTTGAGTTTTTTCATGAAATTTTTTATTATTTTTCTAAGTATATTATGTTTTTACATATATATACATCATATACTAAAAGGGTGTCCCTTAAATGTAGGGCATATATTAAGAATTACAAAGCAACCCACAATATGTACTCTGCTAGGAGCGCTTCCCTAATATGAGTGTGTTGTTTGTGTGTCTTTGAACCGGCTTTTTTTATTTGTCTAAAATATCATAATTTCAAATTTTCTAATATTTGTCTGGCATATACTGTATAAAAAATGTTCTTTCTTTGTTAGCATACTTATCAATAATTTCGTTATTTGGAATGACTTAAATCGTGTCAAAATACAGTGTTGATTAATCTCTATTTTTTAACAGCTGTATGATACAATTAAACCAGGTATTGTTGATTGGAATCGTGTACACAAAACTTTTAGCAAACTGAAAGCCTTCATGGAAAAATTGGAAAATTGCAATTATGCAGTATTGCTTGGTAAAGAGTTAAAATTTTCTTTGGTTGGTATTGCTGGACATGATATTTCTGAAGGAAATCCTACTCTTACTCTTGGTAAATATATAATTTTGTTAATTCCATATTTTTTACTGTTGTAGTGCAATTATAAATTTGTCAGGGTTACCACTCTCTCTAAAAACAGAAAAAAACCTAGAATCCTCAGAGAATTTAAAAATGCTAATGGAAAACCTGGAATTCTCAGTAATATACAAAGTCTATTCAGAAAATTCTTGAAGTATTAGCAATATTAATAATAATTAAAGCCAATTTAACGCTGAGTGTAATTCATTCTATTATTTATACTGCAGTGATACACTTTTTCTTGTTTTCAGTGCTATTTTAACATATAATTAAAATGTTTAAATTTTAATTTCAGTTTCGCATTTTTTAATAACAAGCATTTTTTAAATTAAATTTCTTAAAACATCAGATTAACAGACATTTTTTTAAAATTAATTCAATCATACTTATCTGGAGCTTTAAATAAAACTAATGCCGAATTTATTGAGCAGAAATTTTATTGTGCATTTTCAATTAATATGTGTGTTAATTTTTAAACTATAAATAGTCTTGCTAATTTATATTACAAAATTCTGTAAAATGTTTAGAAATTTTACTCTGGGAATCTCACAGCAATAAAATTTGAACAATGAAAATTATTTTTAAACAATTTTATTATTAATTACAATTTTAACTTTTGAGACTTTTGTTCATATTTTAAATATCCAACTATAAAACTTAGATGTTCTGGTTAAATTTAAATAAAATTATTTTTACCTGAGAAATGCCAAACATGAAGTATCATGTTTGAGCTGCATTTGTTTAATGTCAAATCATTCTATAAAAAAAAAATTATAATAATATAAATAAATAATAAAACTTGAAATTTCATACAGCAACTTGAGATTTTCCCTCCCTCTATTTTATGTTAGTTCAATAAGCTCATGCGAACATTCATATTTAATCATTCTTACAAAAATATTTTATTTTAATTCAATTGCACAAAAATATTTCATGCATGTGATTTTAGCATGCATAGTGCATGCTAATTTCTCAATAAGCACACTTAGATTTTATTTCATAGTTTTTAGGAATGAAACTTTATGTGCTTAAAAATAAATTTTAAAAACTTTGATCTTCAGATTTTGGAACAATTAAAAACAGTATGAAGATTTCCAAGCAAGCATTGTTGATGTTTTCATTAAAATAATGTGACTTTTCTGATAGCTACTTCGTAGGATTTATTCATGTAGTTAATTTTTAAATATGAACAAAATAAACTGGTAGAGGACTACTTTTGGCTAAGTTGCTGATGTTTGTGAACAGTTGTTTGGAGATACCTTTTTTAGTCAATTCAATATGTATTCTAATCTTTTGTATGGGACAAGCTGTGCCTTTTGATACCTTCAATGTGCCGCTTGTTATGTGTTTTATTTTCTTTGAAAAAACATTCTACTGTACAAAATCTAATATATATATATCCCTTTTCAGGAAACTTCTATTTTCCAAACACTTTTTACCAATCAAAATAAACAAATCTCTTTTTCCAAAAAAAAAAAGAAAAAGATANGTACATTTTTTTTTTTTTTTTTTTTTTAACTTTTGAGATCTCTATCCAATTCTTAGCATGTAAGATATTTAAACTGCTTTAATCAGAGTATACTTTAAGAATTGTTGAAAAGACAAGAGCTGTCTGTAAGGTCCGCTACAGCTTTTAAACTGGTAGTAAATTTTTTACTATAAAATACATTACTTGTTTTTAAAACTCTATCATTAAATTTTTACCAATCAAAATAAACAAATCTCCTTTTCCAAAAACAAAAAAAAAATCCTTATTTTTTTTTAACTTTTGAGATCTGTATCCAATTCTTAGCATGTAAGATATTTAAACTACTTTAATCAGAGTATACTTCAAGAGTTGTTGAAAAGACGAGAGCTGTCTGTAAGGTCCGCTACAACTTTTAAACTGGTAGTAAAATGTTTGACGCCCGGTGGCTGAGAGGTAGCCCTTCGCGCTGTCATGCCACAGGTCCCTGGTTCGATCGTCGGGTCGGGCAAGGTTGACTCAGCCTTTCATCCCTTCAGTGGGTCGATAAATGAGTACCAAGCATGTTTGGGAACTAAACACTGGGGGGTTTCGCGTTCGGCTGACCACCTGACCGGAACATCTGCTCCTGCACCCAAGAGCCCAAGGTCAAGAAAACTGAGATGGGCATGATAGGCCTTGGCCCTCAAGGGCTGTCACGCCACTGAGTTTAGTAAAATGTTTACTATAAAATACATTACTTTTTAAAAATCTATCATTAAATTTTTCTTGATCACCACGAAGATTAAATGTTTAAATTTAGTTAATAATTTTTTTTTAAAAAAACATTTTAGCTTTAGTGTGGCAATTGATGAGAGCGTATACACTCACTATTTTGACTCAGTTAGCTAATACTGGCCATCCTGTAGTTGAAAAAGAGATTGTTGAATGGGTGAATAATAAAGTAAGTTAACTTTTAAGTAGTAAATTTCTGTACTTTTTAAATTTTATTTTATAAATGTTTATATGTTGCATTAAAATTAGAGTTAAATTTTAATAAGTAAATTTATCTGCTATTAAAAATGTTAAGCTTTTATATAATGCTTTATAAATATGTTTATAATTTGTGTTTACTTGCTGTTTGAGATTTACATCATTATTATTATTAGCAGAGTTAAGCAGTTTGAACTCAATTCCTTAAATTCTAAGCTTGAAGTAATATTGGGGTGAGTGTCAATCTAAAAAAGTCAAGAAAATTTGTATATCTGATCAAGCATATATTTTTAACTATTACATGCCTGGCTGAGCATGTAAATATTTGTTCAGAAATACCATAAAGTACTGATTAAGCATTGCTCAAGTTTTGAGAAAAATCACCAAGCTGCCAAATGGGATGAATAAAGGCATCAAAGGGTATAGAAGAAAATGAATTGAATTTGATAAGATCTAAATGTTACTGAATTGAAATGTTATAAATGCAAATTTATGAAAAAAAATTAGTTTTTTATACCCCTAGTTATTATTTTTATTATAAAAATAGTCTACCTCAGTGACTGAGCATGTGCATAAGAAAATAATTATTCTAAAAATTACGATTACAATTGGAAAGCAAGAGAGCAACATTGTTGAAAAATATTTCTGAGCTGGTAAAAGTTTTACTCGGAAGGGCATGTAAAATTTTGGGGATTCCTGAAACCAACAAAAGTTAAGGAAATTTATCATTTTTAGAAAAAGTCAGGAAGCTAAAATTTTATTTTGTAAGTTTTGCATAAAATTCTAAAAATTTCATTTAAAAGTTTATTCCTAAGTGCTTAAAAATATTTTCTTATGCTTTGTGCTTTTTCATCACTGTTATTCTTAAAAAAATCTACTGTTAAATACATTATTTTAAAAAACAGCCAGAAAAACATAAAAAAAATCACTTTCAAGCATTTAATCATAACTGTTGTTTTAATTTTTTATATATTTAATAAAAAAATTTTATTTCTATATTTTATGTTATTAAGTTAAATATAATGATTGGGAAAAAAATAATTATCAGAAACTTCATATGCATATTAGCATTTCCAAAAATAGTGTAATTTTTGTGCCACTACATGTGATAAGATATTATTATTTTTTTTAAATATGTTGATACTTTTCATTAGTAGCTTTAGATATTTTAAATTTAAAGTTCTATTAAAATTGATTTTAGTAGATGAAATTGTTCATAATTGTCTAGAACGATTTACATTTAAAATAAATATAACTAAGTTTCAATTATTTTAAGTTTGTTTTATTAAAAATTGTTGTGGACTTACAGTGATGATTTTCACCAGTATTTATAATCCTAGGTAACATTTCTTGAGAAACCGCATACGTTAATATACATTCAAGCATTTGCAGATAACATAATTTTTGAGCCATGCATGCTTGTAAGATTAATTTTTTTAAAAAAAGAATGGATTATAATAGATAAAATTATTAGTAACTCTGGAATATGTTATATTTAAAATAAATATGACTAAGCTACCATTCTTTTAAATTTAATGCTTTATAAAAAAAAACTGTTGTGTAATAACTTATTAACTATAAAGTGATAAGACACATCACTCTCTATAATCCAAGGTAACATTCTCTGAGAAACCATAACCTCTCACATTAGGAATAATAACAGTTGAATTGCTTGAAAGAAATTTAAGAGTCTTTTGAGTCTTAAAAACTGAGTACTGAGTGGATCACTTTTCCTGAGTTGAAACATCTCCTAGTTTCTCTGGTCTGATTAGGTTCTATAAATTTATGTTGAGCATAGCCTTTTTTTATTTGTGATTAGCTTCTATTTACACTATAGTCTTTGCTTCAGCTATTTCATTATCACTTAATGAAGATGATTCTTAAATGTCTCCTTATACCAGGCTTAAACATTCTGACAATAGTGTTATTTTAACTTTCTTAAAATTTGTTTCTTTCATCTCATAATTGCTGGGCTACATTACTACTGTAAACCAATTAAGCGTACCCCCAAATTTTTGACAAAAAAAACATGCTTTTTGGTGAAGGAGCGGTTAAAAATATAATTGTAAAATACCAATTATAATCGGTAAAATTACATGTTTGATATGATGTATGCCGAAAATATAAATAAGCTTAATAACAGGAAATATAAACAATGCTTAGAGCCTAATACTTTAATTAAATAGAGTTTAGAAATATAGAAATATTATAGGATGGAAATATAGATAAGTTGAAAGATTTAATGGCATTTGATACACATATTAATCATTATCTTTGATCTACCCAGCCAATTCTAATCTGTCTAGTTTATTTCATTCTACTTTATATTGCCATTGACTTGGGGCTTGACATCTAATTCTCATACATTTAGCTCATAAATTCTAGCTCTGAATTGAGGTTCAAATATGTAGAAATGGCACAGCTCTTTATTTTCTTCTTTTAAATACCAATTGATCTCTTTTGTTGACTGTGTCACCGTTTAGGGCTATTTCAGTTTTATCTGAAAACAACCAAAAAGAGACTTGATGATGTATATTATCCCTGAAGAAATTTTCCACTCGCTCCAACTTTATCCAATAAGTTTAGAAAAAGAAAGCATAGGTTTAGCTTAGTCAGCCATTTTGTTTCAGCTTGTGGAAAATCTCATAAATGAGTAAATATTGAAACAACTAAAGTTTTTAACTAGATTTTAATTTAGTTACAATGATCAAGTAATGATCCCATGAGAACTAATTGATCGAGGTCTTACTGCAATTTTATGTAAATGATTTGAATGCTTCTTAATGTTTTAAAAGTGATATGGAAAAGTAGTTCTAATTTTAATTTAGATTTGAAATTAAAAAAACGGACTACATTCTTACGGAAGTATAATTAGCTTTTTGTTATTTCTAGTTTTCTGGTCAAAGCCAAATGTTTTCTGCTAATGACTGATAAATTGTTTTCTGCTAATGACTGATCACAATTTAATTTTCATCCTATCTTGACTCATTGAAAACTCATGGACTGCAGCTGAAAGTTATTATAATATTAATGTGGGGTTATTGTATACAGGGGTCTGTCCAGACATTTTGTGAAAAGTCCGTTTTTGTAAAATTGTAAAAAAATTACTTGTAATTTGTGGATTCAAAATAAACGTTAAATCACACTCTTTCAACCAGGATCCTGCTTTTGTGAATTTGTGCAAATAGGGTCCTGTTATTACAAAAAACTTTTTCAATGAGTTTTTAAATTGTAAAGACATACAAGATTATGGATTATGCTCAGCACTGTAGAATTATAATTTTAAAAAAATTACATTTTAAAAAATAAACGGCAATTACTGCTACTAAATTAGAGATGTAACATACAAATGTTTGGTATTTAGCCTATACTGCTGAACGCAGAATATTCATTTCGGACGAATAAAGGAAAAAGCGTCTGCTGAAGACAAAACTTAGTTCGTTTACATCTGTTTTTCTTTTCCCTCGCCCTTCCTGGGAAGGGTTTATTCAATTAACAAAACAATAATGAAGATAAACAAATTTGTGAAGGGTCTGATTAAGAGATAAATTATTTTGTGAAGGGTCCGTTTTTATAAAAAGATATTTTGTGAAGGGTCTGTTAACAGACCCAAATTTCTTCTGAACAGACCCCTAATGTATATATATTTGAAGCAAACCTTCTTCATTTTATATGTATCGTGGAATCAGGTTTTATAGCTCTGACAGATATAGTAAAAGAACTACTTTAGCAGTTAATCAAAATTAGATTATTCTCTAAGAAAATCAAAATTGGCTAGTGATTTTGTTTTTACAAAAAATCACATATATAAATGTGTGATTTTTTATTGTAAAAACGAGGTACACATTTTTATATCAATGAATTTATATGCACAAATTAAATTTAGTTGATTATGAAGAAGAGGATATTTATGCTAATGAAGGCGATATCTAAAGATAATCTCTTTAAGAAATTCAATGATATATTTGATGTGTTTATGCATTATAAGATGTGTCCCACTAAAATAAAGCTACTTTGATTTGTTCTGATGTAAAATCTTCCAGAAAATCTGTAAAAATTGGTGGCTATGCAAAAATGTTGAGACTTAGAAAGTCAGGTCCATTCAAAACTTTGTTCAATACCATATTATGTGTTATATTCCCCTTTTCTCTTTATTTTTTAGATTTTGGGGCCAGCTCAGTTTTATATAATTAATTAAAATGTAAGCATATTTCAACTGTAAGTGTTATTTATGTTTATTTCATTGTAAAATTATTTTATTTTTAGCTCAAGGAAGCAGGGAAAGAGACATACATAAGAAGCTTTCAGGACTCATCAATTTCTACCGCATTACCTATTATTAATCTAATTGACAGTATTCAACCTGGATCAATTAATTACAGTCAAGTACTAACTGCTGACTTACCAGAAGTAACTTTAACATATTTATAATATTTTTAAACAATAAAATTGTCAGATATTATTTATTACACATAAATACCAATATATTTGCTAAACAGTATTATGAAATTTCAGTACGCAGTAAGAAGGAATGTTGTATATAATGTATGTATTCATATGATATCCATAAGTTAAAGCTATTGGATGCTTAAAACAGAATAGAAAAAAATTTAATGATTAGTCATAAAAAGAAGGAAAATACATCTAAAATGATAGTGTACTATTCAAATAGTGTACTATTGCATGAGAAATTGCATAATTTTTTTAAACACATTAGGAATGCAACCAAATAGTCGACTGTTATCAATGACAGTGATGAGATTTTTCTGCGGATTTCTGCTTTTTTCACTTTTGTCTCTCGAATTTCAGCCTTTTTATCGCAAATTCTGTTTCTCAAAACATTCACGCGATTTTAATATCAAATATAGCTTTTCCTGTTTACATGATTTAAAAATTATGCATTTTTCTTATTAACGAGATTTAAAAATCTGATATCACGATTTATTTTTAAGTGTTTTTAAAAACCTATTAAGCGATTCATATTCACGCGAGTTTAAACTCCTATGTCGTGATTCTTTCATGTGTTACAATATTAAACTTCAATTTTTGTATTTATATGTGATTTAACCCTTTCGCGACGGGAAGTGCGTATACCACTGAGGCCGGCAGTCTCTCTAGCGTGTGTCACTCCAGGGCCGGAGGGTTTTTTGCTGTTAGGCCTAATTCCATGAAATTACCGAAATATCAACGCGTTGTTTAATATTGTTCTTTTGAGTATTTAAATGACATATGCATTATATATATTTCTATGGATACTTTATTTACCTAAGTTATTTCTTGTTTAAATATATATTTTACACATTTTATTTTCATTATGTAGTTATCATTTGATAACATTTAACATTACATATCTGAAAACTAAATATATGACTTAAAGTTCTTTTTTCGTATGAAAAATTTTAAAACAGGGATCTACAAGATGTAACTATCCACTAAGAACTAAACCGAAAATCGCAAGTAGCGGGGAAACAAACTCCCCTGCTTATTCTAAACAAGTACCATTTAAAGAGCAGTCATAGAACATTCCTACCCCTTCCATTCCTCTCTCCTAAAAAACATGTGAATGTACTCTTATCTTGAGTAGGAGGTCTAATCTACATGTATCTGAAACCATATGGACATACAATGCCATCTTATGAACGAAATTTTATTTTTTTAAAACGTTCCGAAACGCTGGCACAAATGAGTGACGGGCGGGGGTGAATGAGAAAACGCTCTGTCACTCGGGTGTGTCGGCCGGGAAGTGAGCGCTTTTCTTGCTGGCACGTATATGTGACAGTTGGCGTGAAAGGGTTAAAATTAAGGCATTGGGATTCGCATTCACACGATCTAAAAATTATGCGTAGTGATTTGTATTTACGCGATCTAAAAATTATGAATCACGATTTTTATTTATGCGATTTAAAAATTTATTGCAGTTTATATTTTCTCATTTTCAAAATTGAATATCGAGTTTCATATTCATGTGATTTTATCATCCAAGATCACAATTTGTATTCACATAATTTTTAAGATCAACTATCGCGATTCTTGTAAGAAGTAAGTTTTTTTTCTTGAATTAGTTACTATAAAGGTGACTTTTTCTATCAACAATTATTAGTATATGTAGGTATTACAGCATCAGCGAAACTGGAAGAGAATATATTCAAAACTTACATTCTGTGCTTGCAAAGAAAAAAATGTAGGATTTGTCAAAAGATGTTTGAAGCTGAGCTAAAGACTAAATCAATCATCAATCTGTTTGTGTCAGTTTTGCTATTACTACATGAATATATAAATAAAACTTTTCCCAACTGGGGCACCCTTCATTCACAAGCTGCATTACAAGCAATTTGACCTTGTTAAAGGATTTTTTTCTCTCCTTGTTTTGTGAAACATGAAACATTTGCAGCAATCTGAAATTAAACAAAAAAAATAAAAAAAAAAGATATAGCAAACATAAGATATAGCAAACAAAAACAATCACTTAAAAAGTAATTCAAATTTTATTATTTTTTATTTTTTTAAACGATTAACTCAGCACCAAAATTTAAAAAATTTACTGTTATTTATGCTATAATATAAAATACTTAACTCTTATTAAAAGAAAAATAATTATCTAAACAGTTGCTGATTATCATGTAATTTTTCAAACTAAAATAGCAATTTTTGTATGTTAGGGAGTTACTATATATTTCTACTTCACAGTTATTAATATGTTTCACAGTGCTTTAGTTAGAGTAGATTATAATATAAGCATAGTGATTCCAATTGTAAAAGTTTTATTTTCTTTTCTAAATAATTTAAAAAGTCATGTTACTGGTATATTTGCTTTAAATCATATAACAGTATTTATTAAAAGAAATAGAATATTAATGTATGTTCTCAGTAGTTTTAATTTGCTAAACCAGACAGTTTCTCAAAAAATAATTGTCTCTATTGTGAACTGATAAAAAATATAATTTTCTAGCTTTATTTTTTCAAATGGTAATTTTACTTTTTACTAAATGTTAAGTATCAATGTAATCATTCATATGCCTAATTAGTACACAGTTTTATGTCGACACATTGTTATTTATTATCTTAAATTGTCTGGAATTTATTATTAAATTATTGCACGTGTGTAAAATTTACTTGCTTGGAAATTTGCCTTTTGGCCAATCTCATCCCCGCAATGAGAAAACATTCAATCTTTGGTCATTTCATACCCATTGTAATTACACATCACTGACCGCCATCTGTTAGTGTAAAATGATATTACTGTTTATATACTACATTCCTCCCCTACAAATCTTTAAAAAAAGAAAACATATTAATCAAAATAAACAATTACAAAACTAGTGTATCCCAAGGTTTCCATATTTGTTGTGATCGAAGTGGGATAAAGTTTTTATTAAGTCTTTGTAAGGGTTCTAAGATTTGCGCTGTCTTTATCTAAGTTATGGTGGAATGTCACAAATAAGAATATTACACTAACATTTTACATTGTAGAACGCACGGGTAATTCATCTTCTCCTGAATTTCCTAAAGTAGTCTCCTCAGTCTTATAAGATTGTTGTTGGATCACATGAGGTGGTGAGTGAGCTACTCCTAAATCAACAATTTCAGACAGTTCATTATTTTTAAACTGACTATCTCTTAAAATTTAGTCAACATGGCATCTCCATAGATGCCCATTGATGTTAACATTATAATGTAGTTGTCCATTATGTCTTACTACTGTTCCCAAATTTTACTTTACATCTAGTTTCCTAGCCTAGAATAGAGGAAATCTATTCTAGTTTGGATCTCTTATTTCAATAGCAGCATGGCAGAACTTTTTCACGTTGTAGCATTTGGTGCTTTTCTATAACGTGTAAAAAAACTTGAAAGTTTTTGACATGGTTTCAGGATAATTTTTTTACTACACATAGTGATTGCTTTACTGTGAACACACATCTTTCTTTCTGACTATAACTTGATGGTTTAATTGGAGTGCAAATTTTGTGCTTCATTTCATTTAATCTTAAGAATTGTTTAAATTCTTCAGAAACTGTGTACCATTGTCCCTGACCACAGTAATTAGAAAACTGAACCTGGAAAAACAGTCTCGTAAGCAATCGGTAGTAGCATGAACAGTAATAGTTTTCATTGGATATGCTTCAAGTCAGAATAAACATAAACTATTTTGTGAAAATCATGTTTGAGAAATGGTCCCACAAAATCGCTATATATATTCGTTCCTTAGGTGACAAGGGATACTCCCAGTAATGCACTTGAACTTAATTTGGTACTCGCTTAGGTTTCATACAATCAGCACAAATATGTGCCAGTTCCTCAATATCTTTGTCAATCAGTGCCGGATTACCCATTAGGCAGACTAGGCCATGGCCTGGGCCCCCTTTAAATGGATTTTTTGAAAATAAATTTTTAAAAATTAAGAAAAGCAATGATTTTTTAAAAAAAATATATATATATTTCAGATATATATTAATAAAATACAATAATTTTTTTTACATAATGTTAATCATATTTATTTATTACTTATTTTAGTTATTATTTATAAGTATTATTATAGTTTATGTATTATAAGATTTATCAATGTTTTTTAAGTTCAAATTAGTCATTTTTATTTGCATTCGAAAAAATTGAAGGCAGTACTCTAGCAAACTGAGACTTGTTAGAATTAAATGTTGTTGACATTATTGAGACGTTTTAAATTAAAAAGAAGTTATTTAGTGCCTAAACTGAAGTGTCTCATAATTTATTTTTATAATTATTTAATGTCCGTAATTCTGTTTGATCAATAAATAATTACAAAAATTTAATCTAAGGGCCCCAAAAACTTGAATGGCCTAGAGTCCCGCGTACGCTTAATCCAACACTGTTCTCAATATTGTTTCAGTACACATATGAGCGGATAATGGCTTTCATTTTTTCCATTGCCTAGTGTCCTGCATGAAGTTCTTGTAAAACTTGTCCTTGAAATTTCTTTGCAACACCTTCCGAACCGCATTTTTCTATATTACCTTCTTTCCACGTAAAATCACAACATCGTTTTAGATTGTCCAGAAGTGGATTTATCTCCTTGTCGGTTGAAGCAGCTTTTGCCAAATCCTTATGGGTCATTGGTAATGTTTCTGTTTGGAATAATAGCTAGAAAAGAGTTACTTCTTCTCTGCCTTTCAATTGTTCTGATTTTACTGGATTCCTTGACTAAAAGTTTGCGTTTCCATTTTGTCAATATACGATATCAAATTAAGTTCTGGTTGCATGGGTCTCTAGGTTCCATCAGGTAAAATTTGCGAAAGTACTGCTCCGAATCCTATTGGGGATGCTTCTGAAGCTAATGTTAATGATGGGTCATAGTAAATTAATACTAGTTAAGAGCAAATCTTTATTTAATATATATGTTCAAATGAATTTTGACACTTTTTCATCACACCCATTTAACATCTTTTTGAATTAACTTATTTAAAGGATTAAAAATTGTAGCGAGATTCAGACAAAATTTGCCAAAAGAACTCACTAAGCCTAGAAAGCTTTAATTAACATTGTTTGGAATGGGTTTTGTACAATCCAATCCTTTTTGTACCCTAAAAATTTTTTTCATTTTGGAAATATTTGCTCTTTGATAAATTGGAATTAATAATAATAAATTTTGATAAATTAGAAAATTAACTCCTTCCATTCCCTGATATAACCTTTCTACATAATGTTAAATAGCGGAAGCTGCATTTAATCCTTACATAAATCTTTTACTAACATACAGTCCTTTGTCTGTATTTATTGACTTTATTTTATCCGTTGTTGAACAGCCGATCCAGTTCTGGGTTTACGACTACTACTGTTAAACTCCGTAGCGTTGTAATTTTGAACCTATCCAGAAGACAAGGAAACTCCTGGATCAGTACCCCAGGGGTATTGATTTGTTATGGGAACATGGAGGACTTTGCGACTCGACCAATTTAACGGGCATTAGTCACCATTTACTTCACGGGGAGTCTTTGGCCGGCAGGGATCGAACAAAAGAACTCTTAGACATGGGCCCAGTGCCCTACCAACCAGGCTATCCCAGCCCTGTATTTATTGATAGCAATTTTTGGTTATCTTGATAAACCTTCATTTGTAAATAGGTGTGACAAAAATCTATTTTTAAAATTGCTTACCCCCATTTAAGCATGAAAATATTTCCTAAGTTTGAGCAAGGGATATTACAATACATTTCTTTAAACTTATTTCCGAAACTGTTCCGTCTGTATTGACTTCCATTATTACAAGTTTAGTTTTTATTGCAACCATTATGATAATCAGAGGTTGTTTTTTTGTTGCTCTTCATTTCCAAAAGCATTTTTCGGTTTTAATCCCTTCATATTTATTTCATCATTATTTTCATAAAAATTATCTTCAGCATCAATTTGTTTCAGTCTTACTGAGCATAACATGCCATTTTGATGTGTTCCATTATGATCACTCAAACAACAGGAACATAAATCCTTTCGATCTGTTTTTCTTTGCAACCCTTAACTTACAACCCTATGAAAAGTGCATGTTCATTTAGACAAAAATCAATTTAATTAATAATATGAATATCATTTAATTGATAAATTACATATTTATTTTTATTCTTATTAGGATAGGATGGCTAATGCTAAATATGCAATATCTATGGCTAGAAAAATTGGTGCTAAAATTTATGCTTTGCCAGAAGACATAACTGAAGTTAAGCAGAAGATGGTTATGACAGTATTTGCATGCTTAATGGCAAGAGGCTATATTCCAAACATGGGTGATAAAATCATAGAACAATAATACCAGTGATTGTCTTCTGAAAGTTCAGACTTCTGTGACAATGTATACATACTTTTTTTAGAAACATTATTTTAAACATTTGATCTAAGTCAAAATATTTTAATATGCCTTATATTGTTATTTTTTATTGTTTTAATGTTGTTAAGGGGAGCAATTGTAAAAGTACTCTCCCATGAAAGCGTCAATGATCACTATGAATATTTTCCTCTTGTGTATTATTTTTACTTAGTTATTATGGTTATGTTTTTAATTTGTTTATTATGATTTATTTGTATTTCATTCACAAAATATCTAACATCGTATATTATCTTATTCATTAAAAATACTCTAATCTTGCCTTTTCATTGTATGTATTTTTATATATTTCAGTAATTTTTAATACTCGTATAGTTTTATATATTTTGTAAATTTTATAAATGTTTATGACTTTGTAAATATGATTACATTTTACTATTGCTATTGTGGAATTCTTTGGACTTATTCTTACATTCCTATTGCAAAAACCATTTTTCTAAATGAATGTTTTTGAAGCTTTTATATTTGGAATACCTTTTTAAAAGTATTATTTTTTGTATATTGCAGAAAGAAAAACTTTATAAAGTATTTTACATCATTGTATTAGATTAAAAAAGTTTTCTAGGCATTTGTACTAAACATAGCTTAGCTGCTTCAGCTTAAGTAAACATAATCATAAAATAAATTATCATAATTAATGTGAAATTTACAAAAGTTTAGATGATTAACCACTGAAATTGTTCTTTTTTGTCATGTAACAGTCTTGAATAAACAAATATTAAACTCTTTACTTTTTTTTTAAATATTTATTTGTTGAAATTAAATTACATAAATCTACACAAGATCTCAATTTTCAATTATACACAATTAGTTCTCAAATCTCAAGCATATCAATTAAAAAAGAGGTGATAATATAAGGTTTAATACCTGGTTATGTAGAATATATTGACTTTTCCTGCTCACAAAAAAAGAAAAACTGACAAGTATAAAAAATCCAAGTTTTTGAAATAAGACATAATTTTTTATTGTTCATTTTGCTATATCTAGTGATACGATAGATTATTTTGAAGTTATACAGATATTGACATAGACTTTGCTATATAATTCTCCAAAGAATTTCTCACTTATGCCTTTTGTTAATTATTTAAATTTCTTAGTTAATTTTAAAAACTCTGAACAATATCATAAGTTTAAATGGAGCCTAAATAAGTTATACATTCTATAATATAAAAATTACCCCACTTCTTGAATATAGGATCCAATGTTACATATATATCCAAGGTTCTTGATTTTTGAACTGAAATTATAGTAGGCTTATTTTGTGGCATTATTTGTGCTTCATTCATTTAGTTCAGCGTTATTAATTTGTTTAGTATGTTTGTCAAAATAAAATAAAAATATTTCTTCGGAATGATACTTCATCTTTGCAATGATGAATTATGAAACAAAAAAACATGCATACAATTTCGGAATAATATGCATAAAATTATGAGTTAGCAAACTTTTGATTGTTAAAAACTGGGCCCCATCCTCAAGATGTTTAGATATCTATCTAAAATTTTCTCCCCCTCCCCTAAAATTATAAGAAAAAACACTTCTACCCAAAATGATACTTTACCTATGCAATAATGCATTATGAAACAAAAACATACTTAATAGATAACAAGCTTTTGGTTGTTCAAACGGGGATCCTGCCTGCAAAATGTTTGAAATCAAGGGAATCTTAAAAGGCAGCCCCCATTCTAAAACCGGAAGGAAACAAAAATATTTCTACACAAAATGTTACTTCAACATTGTAATGATGAATAGTGAAACAAAAGCATACTTTCACTTGCGGCAGAAATATTTATTTCTATTTAACATTTTAATGACTATTATTTCTGTTTTATATTTTAATATTAAATGGGGGGAGTTGAATATATTATAAAATTTATACAGCTTTATCAAAGCTAATTTAAGTGAAATCGATAAGCTTAAACAATTATAAGGAAGCGATACAACGATAAGGAAAAATGATTACACTATTCGTAGCCAATTTTGCATAATTAATTGATGCCGTGCTCACAATACAGATCTGCTGTCTCCCCTCCCCCCCAGTGTATATTTTAAAAAAACTTGGAAGTTATCAGATTTTATAATCTTAAATCAAATTTAGTTAATATCAAAACAATGAATTATTGTGTGGTTCTTCCTTTTCCTCCTATTCAAATCTTTCCTCACTTGTTCGTTTTGGCCTATGTCAAGGTAATTAAAAGCCTTTTCAAAAAGGAAGGTAAAAATAAAGAAAATTGAGAAATTATCACTGTGTTTCTTGGAATTCAGGACCTTCTTGGAAATTGCTTAAAGCTGTTTTTCAGAGGCTCTGCCGTAATATGAAATTATGCTTTTTTTTGCGAATAATATGCTATTTTTATAACTGCCGTGAGTTTGCAGCTGTTATTCATCACTGTTAGGTCAAGTTTAGCATATCTAAAGCCAGTGCTGTCTATGCATATTTTGAAAACGGCACAAAACGTCAATATAAAGAAAAGCCACAGTTTTGTGAAAATGAAAAGTGTTTGTGGTCTTAATTTTTTAATATTTAAAAATTTACTCCAATGCTGCATTGTCTGGGCTCATAAAAATTTTCAAGAACTGAGAATATAGCAGTGATTTTGATAATTTTAATCTAGGTAGAAAAAAAAGTCGCCAAATTGGCGATTTTTTAAAAACTTCTAAAATATTTAACTTATTTGTCTGTTCTAAAGCCCAGATAATTCTTCATAGCAAGATTGCATATATAGTTTAAATTCATCGCATTGATTCAAGTGTAAGGCACTTGAACAATGGCTTCGAAAACCAACGTTAACTGATGAGATTAAACGGCAAAAATTTTAAGGTAAATCTTGAATGGAAAAGCAATTTTTACAAACATTATTGAATTTTCTCACATATAGTGCCCAGGGGAGGGGAGAGTGGCAGTTATTTTTAAGACAATTTGTATGAAGCATGTTGTGAGTCTCAACATTCTTTTGGTTCCACAAATTTATATTTTTCCTGGATTTATAAATGATTATGACCAGGGCTGAATTAGCCATTAAGCATACTAAGCACATGCATAGGTACCACAAAGCTCCAATAAAAAAAAGTTATTTCTAGAAATATTTTTAGCACATTTATATTCGATTATAAGCTTTTACTCAAGATCATGGTTTAAGCTAAATTTCTATTGTATTTTATTTAGTTGTGTATTGCAAGTATACCATCACAAAATACCAATGCTTTTTCCTAACAGACCACCTACGTATAGTTTGTCTACGATAAAAACTCCCCGCCACAAAGTCTGCTGTTATGGAGACAAGAATAGCGCATTTCAGGGAGGGTAGTTTCTCTTCACTCTAGGGCTAACACAATAGACCAAAGAAAAAGATTACCTTTCGCTCTCCGACCTGAGCTGAAGCCTGTCCTAAACACCTTTACTTGAAATAGTTATTCCTCGTTACCATAGTCACTGCCGCGGATCCAGACGAATGGCTAGGGGAATTTCTTACATTAGACAAACAAAAGTCTATAGCAGCGGTTCTTAACCTATAGGTCGCGACCCAAATTTGGATCGCAAAGCATATTTCTTGGGTCGCGCTGAGTCGAACCAAAAAAGTTAGTTAATACACCAAATAATAAGTACAAGGGCGCCGGCAGGGAGGTGCAAGAGGGTGCACTTGCACCCCCCTGGCTTTTTTTAAAACAATTAAAGAGATACAGAAAAACAATTTTGCTATGAAATGTTTTTTAAAATATTTTTATTTAAAAACAAATAATTAAGTAATTATTGATAAATAACAATTAAAAATTGTTTAATCTAACAAGAATTGTAATCGTCTTGTTTGCTGTCCAAATCTGTTTATAACTTTGTAACTTAAGTTACTTTTTTCTACAAAAAATATCAGAATGCAGTCAATTCGTAAAATCTATTCATAAGTCGAACACTCGAAAGTAATTTTTTATTTTAACTGTCAAAAAAAGATTTTTATTCTTGGGAAGATATCTAAGCTACATTTTTAAATTTCATTCAATAAAATATAAATAATATTACATTTCCTGTTAGTTATTTAGTTTAACAAAGGTGTATAATACAAACTGACTTCTCACAACTGTAAAACTTCATCAATACAATAAATACCAATGTTATGAGTGCACAAACACGTTATACGAAACTACTGTTTGTAGTTATTTGTGTTTCAAAGTAAGTAGACTATGCCAGCGCCATCAATGCAGTTTCTCGTGACAAAATTTGCAAGTACAAGAAATTCATACTTACATTTCTTCATTGTTAACAAGATATTTATCTTGAAAAAAATTAACAGATTAAAGTATGTGTAATAACAAAACAGAATGCAATAACAGAATATTAGTAAAAAAAAAAATTTTTTGGGGGGGGTAGTATTGTTAGAGGGTTGCACCCACTTTTACGTTATTCTGCCGGCGCCCTTGAATAAGTAATACCAACCTCCTAGAAGAAGTCATTGTAGCTTACTCAGCCTAATTTTGAATTTTTTTGGGGTCTCGACATGAACATATTTCTCAAATTTGGGTCGCGGCTTAAAAAGGTTAAGAACCACTGGTCTATAGCATATATGAAACGTCGGTGGATAGCTGAGGTCTGAAACATGAAACAAGAGCAGGAAAGAAGCTTTGTGTAAACTAGTGTAACAAATGAATTTACTACACTGACGTGTCAAATCATCCTTTTGATCTCTGAAGCATCTTGCGGACCGCTAATTGCGACCCTATACTTTTGCCCTTTTTCAGAGATGAATACTATTTAATAAGATATATGCTTGTTGCCCTTCTTGGTGACGACTTCTGTTACAAAAAAGTGGGAGGGCTTATGAAAATACAGGGTTCTTGACATATTCTTTTAAACCAATTACATGATTAGGAGATCAGCTACTAATTTTTCGCGTACACTTGAAAATTGTACATTTAAAACTTAAACAAATTGAAACAGTGCGACTCCATCTTGGCTCAGTGTTATATATATATATATATATATATTAAATTTCATATTCAAGGACACTTTGTTTGACTTTAAAATTATTCATCTCTTTAAGTTTTAATAACGCAACGAGGCTAGAAAAAGAAACAAGAACCCCCAGAGATTCTTCGAAGACTTTACGACTGACGTAAAAAGTAACAATAAGTTAGCTTAACTTGTATTCCCCCTTCCCCTTTATAGATTATTGAAAATGTTACAACACTATGGAATTTTTATTTATCATAGGGAAAGTCATTTTAATTAATTGATTTTAAATAGATTATTGCAACTGCCAATTACGTATGCTTGTCAATGGAATAATTTCCTTAGTTTCAAAATTAATGTGGAAAAAAAATAAACAGATTTTATAATGTAATAAGAGTTTTATTTTATTTTAGACGAAATGAATTATTTGTTTTTAAGAAGAGTCTGGTGTTA